TGTGAATATTGCAGACGCACATGTTGTGATATCAATGCTCAAACAATATATTGTGCAGTCCTAATATTAAATATTTAAATTCCCAACCATTTAGTGGTTACAAACACAATTATTTTTGCTGCTTGTTCAAACTACTTGTTTAAAATGAGCCAAAACAACGCAATTATTGTGATTTTTTTAGGAAAAGCTTCCTTGTTTTATGTTCAATCCACCTTAAACTCTAAAAACCACTGAAACATTAACACAATCCCCAACGATATGAATTAATTAGCGTTATCTAAAAGATGGATTTTAGAATAATGAACAGCAACACAGTCTGTACAGTTTCAGTTTTTTATTTTAAGTTCATTCCTTTAACCACATATTTAGCAGTCAACACCAAAGTAGCCCAATTCTTAAAAAGTAACAGCATAGAAATGTCCATTTCTGATTGGATGTAAAACAGACATAAACCTCTTTTCAATTTAGCTTAGAAGAGGCAGTATATGTTCAAGAATGAGTGTGTGTGCGTGTGTGTGTATGCGTGTTGATGTATATTTGGAAAGGTGTGAAACACCTGAGACGCAGTCACGATCAGTGGGAATGACTGGCGATGGGTTCTGATAACATCTACTGTTTCCATACATTTGTATGTCTTAAGGCTTCAGCCGTTTGTACTCTGCGTACGGTACATAACCCATATATACAAAACAAAAAAGTAGTACATCTACCCCCGCGGTGACATCATAGACTGTGACAAGCGCAGCGACGGGACAAAAATCTGAAAGCGTGTTTTTGTAGCGCAAAGATTCACATCAGTGAGATTAACAGCACCGTAGAGTCTTTCACATGACATTCGCAAGTGCAGCACGTTCTCTATGTCCCGCCACCGGCGTTCACAGAAGACTGCGAATATCAAAAGGGGAAAAAAATACAAATAAAAAAAGGTGGAACTTCACAGAAAGCAGAGCCGACTTCGGTGGGTGCGGGTCGGGATCATACTCGAGACACCATTTCTCAACAAGACACAATCTTGAGAAGGAAGTTCACTTTTTAGTTTGCACCTTTTTGTAACAAATAAAAACAAAACATATCAATACGAAGGCAAACAGCCCCAAAACCCCTATTGAAGAAAGAGAGAGAGAGAAAAAGAGAAAAGAGTTGAACCCTTTCTCTCTGTCTGTGGACAGTGACGTCACAAACAAGCAAACATATATACTGTATATTTATATATATATATATTTATCTTTTTTTATATATACAAAACTCCCACATTCCAAAATACACCGTGCTCTAATGCTCTCATGGCTACAACTCAAACAACTTTTATACTTTTCATTTGTTTTTATACATTTTTTTTGGATTTCGTTTTTAAATTCAAAACTACCCAACAGCAGCAATCCGTACATTAAGAAGGAACAATCTGTTTGTTTAAACTCTATTTTTGGTACATCATTCTAAAGTGTATGTGTATATACACACACACACTATATATCTGAAATCAGTGTATACTCTAGAACACAGGTGTCAAACTCAGTTCCAAAAGGGCCGCAGCTCTGCACAGTTTAGTTCCAACCCTAATTAAACACACCTGATCAAACTAAATGAGTCCTTCAGGCTAGTTTGAAACCTACAGGTAAGTGTGTTGGAGCAGGGTTGGAACTAAACTGTGCAGGGCTTCCGCCCTCCAGGAATTGAGTTTGACACCCCTGCTCTAGAACATAAGACTTAAACTGGATTCCTGAAGGGCCGCAGCTCTGCACATTTTTACCCCAACCCTAATCAAACACAACTGATGCCACTAAACAAGCTGTTCAAGACTCTGTTCTCTGTGTTCTTGGAATTGAGAAACAGCCAGACTCATTGCGGAAACTGGTCTTGCCAAGTTACCTCAGAAGAAAGAACTCAGAGGACCGCGAGAACAGAGAATGCGTCCTATGAGAAATAAGAAGCGGTGTTCTTCCTGAAGGTCACGTGACCTCCACGTGTCTTTAATGGAAAATTATTTAAACATTATAGCATTCATACAATGATTTATTGTTTTTCCCATTTTCAAAATATATATTATGAATAAATACCTTACATATATACGATGCACAATACAAATAAAACTGATTTTAATACAAATTTCAGCAATTAAACACTCTTAATGTGCTTGTGCCTTCATAAAGATTTTTTATGGTGATGTGTCAGTCTCATTTAGGAAAACTCCTGAGACAAAGAAGTTATATCTCTGAACTTCAATAATAAATCTATATAAAATGCTGCGCTTCCCACCGCCTTTATTCAGTCAGCCGCAATGACTTCTAGGACTTCTCGAGCAAGTTTTGCACTCAAGTCTGCATCAATGCGTCCTCGATTTCAAGAACACATCCGGGAACATTTCACGTGTCCTCCATTCTTGCAGTCTTGGGTATTGGAACTGAACTCTGGCGGTTGATGATGCTACACGAGAACACAAGATCATTGAAGAACGCATATCGAGAAACAGCCTCTTTTGAACACCTTGATTAGTTGGATCAGCTGTGTTTGATTAGGTTTGAAGCAAAACTGTGCTGAGCTGCGGCCCTCCAGGAATCGAGATTGAGACCTGTGCTCTAAATTTTAATTTGATGCGACAGTACATTCAAACACAGATCCTTCACTAGGCTTCCTACAGAGCCCACTTTACTCACTAGTGTTATAAGAAAACGCTTCTCCAGGCACGAAAATCACAGGCTACTCTGATTACCCACTTTCAACAATCGCAGTGCCACCAACACACCAACAAATACATCCCAATCAACAAATTTTTTTTAATGCAATTTATCTCACTTTTTAGTTTTTTTTTTTTTTTTAAACGTTTTTAGTTGTCATTTTTATATTTGTGCAGGAAATAAAATATATATAAAGTTTTTCGGGGGGCTCTGTGAGCGTCAGGTTAAAAGATAATCTAAAACAAGATATATTAATACCCCAGCAAGCATTTTTTGTTTTTAAAATATAGTAGTCTAATAAACATCTAAACATAGTTATCTTGGCTTAATTTGGGCAGTCAGTGACAATCTAATACACTTTTAAAAATAGCCCAAAACTAGATTAGTCGTCAAATAAACAGAAATGAATGGCTACACATATAAAGTCTGTCTAATCCCAGCAAACAATTTTGTGTTTAATTAACGTCTAATAGACATCTAAATGTAGGCAGCTTGGCTAAAACAAGGCTAAACTTGGGCTGTCAGTGAAAATCTAATAGACATCTAAAAATAGCCCGAAACTAGACTAGTCGTCAAATAAACAGATTAGACAGACTTTATATGTGCACTCATTCATTTCTGTTTATTTGATTTTGAATTAGATTTTTACTGACAGCACAAATTTACCCTTGTTTTACTAAAGACGACTATGTGTAGACGTCTATTAAACATCTATTAGACATCTTTTAAAAACAAAAAAAAAAACGCTTGCTGGAATCTGTTTATTTGACGACTAGTCTAGTTTTGGGCTATTCCTAAACGTCTATTAGATTGTCACTGACAGCCCAAATTTAGCTTTGTTTTGGCCAAGACGACTGTTTAGACATCTATTAGACATCTTTTAAAACAACAAACTCTTGCAGGGATCTGTTTATTTTCACTGACCACCTGAATTTAGCCTTGTTTTAGCCAAAACGACTATGTTTAGACGTCTATAAGACATCTATTGGACATCTTTTAAAATCAAAAATTGCTTGCTTGCGTCTGTCTATTTGACGACTAGTCTAGTTTCGGGCTATTTTAAGATATCTATTAGATTTTCCCTGACAGCCCAAGTTTAGCCTTGTTTTAGCCAAGCTGTCTACATTTAGATGTCTATTAGACGTTTATTAAACACAAAATTGTTTGCTGGGATTAGACAGACTATGTATGTTTAGCCATTCATCACTGTTTATTTGACGACTAATCTTGTTTTGGGCTATTCTTAGACGTCTATTAGACATTGACTGACAACCCAAGTTTAGCCTTGTTTTAGCCAAGCTGTCTACATTTAGATGTCTATTAGACATCTATTAAACACAAAATTGTTTGCTGGGTACCTAACTATATAGTGCAAATCTACATGTTGAAACGAACAAAAAAGGAGAACTGAAGCAACTAAGGCAACCACTACTCGAATATATTCTTATATATAGATTTCTGTCAATGTAAATCAAATATAAATACTTTATCAATATACGTACATATAGGGTAGATATCTCTGTTTCTGTGAACTATATACACTACATTTAGCTGAAATGGTAAAAAGCTAGGTAGCAGGAGTGAAACTGCAATGCAGTGCTGCGGCCACACACACACACACACAAACACACTCTTACAATGAGGCTGATAGCGTAGGATCAGAGGGCTCCGTCGCTCATACAGCAGGTAATCTGAAGCCTTTGTGTCAGTGTGTCTGCAGTCCATGCAATAATGCTAACCTCCGCTCTACCATGGAATGTGCTTCTAGAGTCGCCCTGGGGCTGAACAGTCAAAAGAAAAACAAAACAGACAAACAATGCATCAGACGTACCCAAAAAACCAAAAACACACGCCACTGTCCTTAGAGAGAGAGGAAGAGATACCTGAGATCCAGACGGTCCCACCCCATTTTTCAAAAAACCCAACCCACAAACCCTTTGACGAAGAATCTCATGCTGCAAACGCTCCGGCCCATTGCTTGCTGTAGTTGAAGGAACTTTTCAAGATGGCAGATCATATTTAAAGTATTAAAATAATGGATTTTCCTCTGATTAGGAAGATCCAAGTCCATTTGAAGGGGTGTATTGCTACCACCTTGATGATTTAGCACAGCATGAGCGTAAATATTCAACCAAACCAAAACATCAACACATCGGTGATCGCTGCAGAATCGGGTGTTTTTAAAACAGTGCAGGTAGATATTTTAAGACTAGCTAACACACTACTGCCTGATACATCACTAAAGTAGCTGCGGTCCCTTCGGCGAGACGTTTTTTAGAAAAACGAAACATGACAGCACATCTTTTTTTTGTAGTTTTTTTTTTGTTTTTGACACAAAGCGATCCTTGCCTGGACGGTAGAAGTAGCCCTTTTTTTGCTTTGATCTCGCAGCTTTCACCCCAAAGTCCGGTCCTTGGTTATTATTATGCAGGATGAGGCAAAACTGGAGTGTTATAAAAGGCCACTCCTACGGACGTCGTCATCTAAGTGCAAAATACCATGCTCTGGTAGGTTAGCTTACTGGTCAGCCCTGTGTCTGGACGGTACAGTTTTGTTTGAAGGAACATAAAGGGCTGTGTAAGTCAGCCTGGGTGTGATTGTCCCAGAGAGCGACAGTGAATAGGCAGTGGGTGTGGTATGGTACACATTCTTCATCTGGCTTGAGGTCTTTAAGGGTCTTTAGGGGGGCTTTCGGGATGAGAAATGTCTCAAATCGGGTGCCTCTCTCCTGGATGATGGGGTGGGAGCGAAGGCAAATGAGTGGGAATAGTGATGCATGATATTAGTTTTGCGCTGATATCTGATAGGCTGTTATGTTTTCACTCCTATATGCCGATAGATGATGCTGATTTTTGTTTTATAAGTGTCAGGTTTGTAATGTTTATTCTCCATAACCTGCAGCTCTTGTTTATTAAATCAAATCAGACTTGATTTGATGACACCAATCAATGCTAATTGATAATGAATAACAAATATTTACTCACGATTTACTCACAATACTCAATATTTACTCACGATTTACTAAACCTCAAGTGGTTGCAAACCTTTATGAGTTACTTTATTCTGTTGAACACAAAAGAATATATTTTGTAGAATGCTGGAAACCTGTAACCATTTTTCTTAGTTGGAAAAACAAATACTATAAAAGTCAATGGTAGCTGTTTTCCGGCATTCTTCAAAATAACTTCTTTTGTGTTCAACAGACAAAAGAAAGTAAAACAGGTTTTGGACAAGTGAAATGTGAGTAAATTATGACACGATTTTTAAGCGAACTAACCCTTTAATCGGAACAGAACTAACTTCAAACTAATAAAACAAAACTCATTTTTAGTATTTTACTTTTAAAAAAATTTCTGCGTCCTCAGAATAAATCTTATTTCCTCGTAAGCAGACTTTATAGAACCCTTGGAGGAGGCTGATTGGGGAAAAATGGTTTCTCCTTTCAGGGTGTTTCACATCAGTGGTTCGGGTCATTTGGTCTAGACTAAGAACAACATAAACTACATTGTAGCAGTTTTCTGCCGTTTTTAGCTCCTTTTCACACCACACGGATTGCTTTGGTCCGAACCAGTTGAAAAAACCCAAAATGCAGTCATGTGACAAAATCCACATCACTAATTGGCCAGATGTTTTTTCTAAATTGCTTTCGAATGGTCAGAATTAACGTGCCGGAAAATGCTAACAGAACTCCCGCAAGTGCACAAACCGGCAGACACAAAATGTCGCTTTATACTATAGAGGGACGACTGTGCTGGCTGACTGTATCTCTGGTCACAGTATACTATATAGTTTGTATACGTCACTTTAGATAAACTATCCATTTTTGAAAATGAAGTGCAGCTGTGGCTGGAAAACTGTTTTAATGCATTTTAATGCATTTTAATGCGGCGAAAGCGAATTGCAAACCACTTCAGAGTCATCTAGTTCGGATCATGTTCTCAACACAAATTAACTGCTCCACGGTTAGTCTGAAAGCGTACCAAGACCAACTATTTAAAGAGGTCTTGGTACACTTTTTTGGTCCGCTTTTGGTGTGCACTCGAGTGCAACTGCTACATTCACACCTGCCCAAACGAACCGCATCAAGAGGAAAAACGAACTCTAGTGTGATTCAACCGAACTAAATAAGGCAGGTGTGAAAACAACCTTAAGGCTCGTAGACACCGGGATGCTTTTCTTTTGCGTTTATCTTCAGCGTTTTCGAGATGTTTTTCCGGATTCAAACCCAATCGAACCCAAAAGCTTCTGACACCCGCTTGTAACACAGAAGAAGACAGAAAGTTGACACGTTTGTTAAAGTTACTGGTTATTCAAATAAGCATGGATGGTTCAAGTAGCAGCTCCAGCTCTAGCGATGAACAAATTATTTTTGTTTACCAGTGCAATAAGCAGCGCTACGTTCATATTGCCTCTGGGCATCTTCTTTAATGTGTGCTCGCATTGAAAGTTTTGTGCTTGAGCACCTCCAAATGCTGTTTACTTTAACTTTACCAGCTCCAGGCATGTGAACAACAGTGGCAATCTAGATGGTGGAAAAGAAAACGAGCATGAGGCATTTAAAAAAAAATGACGCCTGTTGTTTTGCGCGTTGGTGTGCACGATCACATTGCCGCCCTTTATTTAGTCACGAGACATTAAACATCGAAGGAAAACACGATGTGAAAACACGAACGGTGTGAACGGGCCTTTCGACAGATTCCATTCATACGAATAGTCTTACTGGGTGGTCACCGGGACCAGGAGAGGGTGGTGACTGTTAATAAATAGATTACTGATGTTGTACATCATACATCGAGTCAAATCTGCGTTTTAAATCTGGCAATTATAAACAATGAAACTTTTGTGAATGTAAATCTTACTGCTAGCTACTCCTAGTGGACAATTAAGTTACTGCAGTGTCATAAATCAACATCATCTAATCGGCAAGGCAGAATTTCAATATCATTCTAACATATCCGAAGCTAACATTATCAGCTGATTTGATCAAACTTTACAATAATAATGCGCATCGCTAGTGGGAAGATCTGATTGGGCGAAGGTGAGGGGATGTCAGTGCGGCATATATGAGGTCTGGTTGGTGAGCGGCTCATCCAAATCCAATACTTTTCTCCCGTGTTTCCTCCTTTGGACTGGAGCAAGAATAAGAGCTGTGAAGGAGCTGACACCTTTCAAGTGTTAGAGGAGGAGGAGCCGTGCGTAGGTGACTGGAGGTACAGGTTGAAGTGGTGCGGGATGAGTGGCCTAGGAGTGATCTGTGCTCTTATAGACTGCAGGCCAGCACCAGGCTGTTCTCCTGAGAATTGGCGAGGCGACGGAGACTTGCACTGGAATAGCCTTCATCGCTGCAGCTACTGCGCAAGCTTCCCCGCTCGTCCGAGTCGCTCACGCTGCTGGTGCTCCACTCCAGGTCACCCAGCAGATAGTCTGTGCCCTCCACGTCAACATCCACCTCTTCTGTAAGACAAATAAAAAACAGAAAAAGGTTGGGCAGATATTCACTCATTATTCTTAGTAATGTAATGCAATTTAACGTGTATTTATTTAGAGCATTTATAGAACATTTAAGCGCTTCACAATCAGGGGGCGGGGGGTGTACACAGGGTTACACCCCTACACTTTTAAGAGAAGTGCCATAAGATTTTTTATGACCATAGAAAGTCAGGACCTCGGTTTAATGTTTCATTCGAAAGACGGCGCTCACTGACAGTATAGTGTCTCCTTCACTATACTGGGGCATTAGGACTCACACAGACCGCAGGTTGCTGCTGTTCTCACTAACACCACTTCAACCTACTTTTCCCATGTGGTCTCCCATCCAGGCTCGACCCTGCTTAGCTTCAGAGAGTAACCGTTCTTCGGCTTCAGGGTAATATGGCGCTTGCACTATCACCCTGAGCATTGCTGCAGTGCATTGCAGTGGTCAAACTAAAATGACACAAATGCTGTATCCCAATTTGCACAATAAATGGTATTCAAATAAAGAATTAGTATGGTGCAAATCATACTATGTTCAAATTCCTTCGTTATCATATTGTATTGCGAAGATACCCAAATGGTTCACTGTTTTCTGAAGAAATTCAAAGTGCTGATCTGTGTGTCCTTTAACAGCAATTAGAATTACAAACAAGAGTAGTTCAAGTGTTCAGATACTTTAATGTATAGAATAGTTCAGAGAATTGACAGGCACTAGTTTGGAGCAGAGAGAGGGAAAAGGGATGGTAAAGGATCTCGAGCCGGGAATCGAACTCGGGTGGCCGTGTATATCATGGTGCTATATATTAGCGCACTTAACCACTAGGCACTGACAAATATATAGTTTTAATATTTAAAAAACATCATTATACTTATATATAATTATTTAAACATTATTATATAGAATCATTATTAGCAATAAAATCAAATGCAGTATAGAAATTAATTTTAATTGTAATTATCGATGATCATTATTATGATATAAAATTATAATTATTATTATCAATTAATTATTTAATTATTATTATATACAATTATTATAAATTAAAACAATAATTATTATATAGAATTGGCGACACGGTGGCTCAGTGGTTAGCACTGTTGCCTCACAGCAAGAAGGTTGCTGGTTTGAGCCCCGGCTCAAGTTTGCATGTTCTCCCCATGTTCATGTGGGTTTCCTCCGGGTGCTCTGGTTTCCACCACAGTCCAAAGACATGCGCTCTAGTTGAATTGAATAAAACTATTACTTTAGCTTCAATAAACTATAAATTTGTTCCTTTTTAATACGTATTAATAATTATTAGATAGTGTATGTGTGTGAATAAGTGAGTATGGGTGTTTCCCAGTACAGGGTTGCAGCTGAAAGGGCATCCGCTGTGTAAAACATATGCTGGATTAGATGGTGGTTCATTCCACTGTGGCGACACCTGATGAATAAAGGGACTAAGCCGAAGGAAAATGAATGAATGAATTATTTAGTATTACCAGTTTTTTAAGCTCTCAATTGACAAAACTCAAATTGCAAGAAAATAAAGGGTGGTGTATAATTTTTTAAATGGTCTTTAATTACAATTATTTAAGATATTTATTATGAAAAAATATATTATTAAAAATTATAATTATTATCAATTATCAATGAAATAAATAAAGTTAAACGATCATCAGGGTAATTGCTAAAACTAGTGAAAACCCCCCCCACCATTGTTGGCGGATGATGTTAAAACAAATGTCTGACATTGTGTCCACACTGCATGCAAGTGGTGTGACACGACAAACAAGATTAATCACATTATAATCAATGAAGCTGTCAGCAGTGCACACTCAGCTGCTTATAAAGGCAGTGATCCAGTTTTCTCATAACAAACATTCACAAAACCATCATCAGCCAAATTTTCCTTGATAATCCTCATCTATTGTCATGTATGCACAACACACTCAACCAGGCTTATGCAGCATTGTTAACACCGAATAAAAATCAATTCACATGCACAGAATCTGTAATGGCATGCAATACGTGAGCTGTAATGTCATTTGAGAACTTGTTTTCAATAAATCCTTATTAATGTTACAGCGTTTTCATGTGCAGTTTTGAAGAGCACTACGTTTCGTCAATCTGGTCCATTATCTCCATGGCAACATTCCAATTTAGGTGTTAAAGCATTCATCATGTTGCGGCAGTCTGTCTGTGAGCCATCTGTTTGCAGGACAGGCCACAGCATATACAAAATAAACTCCCAGAGAGACCCGTATTTGTCTGAATTCAGAGAAAAATTACGTGGGCTTCATGTGTGATCATCAAACTGCGCATGAATCGTATGTGTGTGATGACAAACGGTTCTAAGTAGAATTATTAGGTGCATCCCAAATCGCATACTTATGCACTACTCTACACCATTTGGTAAGTATTGCATTCACACTGAGATATCCGTTTTATTCTACAAAGAATAAGTGCACTTTCAATAACCCCTATGCACTTATTCAACCGTTAAAATAAAGTGTGGAATGTTGGACACTTCACGCACTCAACAGTCGCAGTTTTAATTACATAGAAGAAGAGGCAGAGCTATCGGGCACTGATGTTGGTGAATTCGGTTATAGCAGGTATTATTTGGTAGTTTGGACATTTAACTCAGTAATTTGGCAACTATCTGGAAACAAGTTTGAATTTCCGGTGAGTAAAAAAAAATTTAGTGTTCCATTTGGGACGACACTAAATTCATACTATGCCCTTGAGTGTGTAAGTGCATAAGAGCAAAAAGGGGATTTAGGTGACTTTGAACGTGGCAAGGTTGTTGGTGCCAGACGGGCTGGTCTAAGTGTTTCAGTATTTCAGAAAATGCTGATCTGCTGTGACGTTCGGTAGGGTCAGAAATTGGCATCAACAACATGAAAGCATGGATCCATCATGCCTTGTATCAACAGTTCAGGCTGGTGGTTGTGTAATGGTATGGGGGACATTTTCTTGCCACATTTTGGGCCCATTAGTACCAATTGATCATTGTGTCAACGCCACAGCCTACCTCAGTATTGTTGCTGACCATGCCCATCCCTTTATGACCACAGTATAACCATCTTCTGGCTACTTCCAGCAGGATAATGTGCCAAATTATAAGGTGTGAATCATTTCAGACTGGTTTCTTGAACATGATAATGAGTTCACTGTACTCAAATGGCCTCCACAATCACCAAATCTCAATCCAATAGAGCACATTTTGGATGTGGTGGAACATTCACATCATGGATGTGCAGCAGACAAATCTGCAGCAACTGTGTGATCCTATCATGTCAATATGGACCAAAATCTCTGAGGAATATTTCCAGTACCTTGCTGAATATATGCCACGAAGAATTAAGGCAGTTCTGAAGGCAAAAGAGGGTCAAACCCGGTAATAGGAAGGTGTACCTAATAAAGCGGCCGGTGAGTGTAGTATGCCATTGGGGACGCAGTGATTATCAGAGATTTTCTTATTATGGGGAAGATAAAAAAATAAATGTTTACCATTGGAAAACTCCTAATGCTAACTCGGTCACATGAAGCACGTCTTAGCCAATCACATATTGGCTTTTACTATCCTTCCCTGCATACTGCCACTTCCCTGCATACTGCCATAGAGGCAACTTTATATATATATATATATATATATATATATATATATATATATATATATATATATATATATACCTTATAGCTTTTGACAGTTAACATTCCATATATATATATGGAATTAGCACTGTCGCCTTACATCAATAAGGTCACTGGTTTGAGTCCTGGCTGGGCCAGTTGGTGTTTTTATGCGAGTTTGTGTGTTCTCCTCATGTTTGCATGGGTTTCCCCCACAAACTAAAGAAATGCACAATAGATGAAATAGGTAAAGCAAATTGGCCGTGTGTGATTATGAGAGTGGGTTGGGGCTGGGAGGGCATCCGCTGTGTAAAACATATGCTGGAACAGTTGTCTGTTGTGGTAACCCCTGATAATCAGGGACTAATCCGAAGGAAAATGATTGAATGATTTAGCAGATTATCTGATTTTGATTCTAATACAATAATGTGCAGATTTTGTAAAGCTGCTTCGAAACAATTATTGTGAAAAGTGCACAAATAAACGTGAACGCAACAGAATAGGCTTTGACATTACCACTAAAACACCCTTTCAAGCAAGGGTTTGTGAGTGTTTTTGAAAATCTCTTATAGCTTTAAATAGATCTTATTAGTTTGTCCTTGATATGCGCAAGTTAATTAATGCATGCTTGGTAAATTATGTGTATCTGCGGACGTTTTTTGCTATTTCTGCACATAATTTTGGTAAAAGTCTGCGGATTTCTATCAAAACTAAAACCTTATTATATGAAA